ATAACTCTCTGTGAAGTTCAGAATATTGGGTTTTGATTGCTTCTTCGCTCATCTTTCCCTGTTATTAGATTTTGAGGGTAAGATCTATGTGCATTGCAATTTTCTTGGCAGCTGCTACAGAGCTGAGGCAAATAATTGTAAATATCTGTAGAAAGAACAAATGAATGAAGGATTGAAGGAGAGGAAGTATGAGCTCCTGATGAAGATAATTTCTGCACTTTGAGTGTCAATCCCAGCTGTGCCATTCACTAGAGTTGTGACCTTAGAGGACACTAAGATTCTGTCGAGTCTTAGCTTTCCAATCTCAGAACAGGGCAAACATTTTTTACCTCAAGACAAATTGATGTCAATGTTTATTAATAGAACATATCTATAGATACATGTAACTTAGCCTTGTCACTAACTTTCCTTGGATTGGAAAGCTGTTTCTGGAGGGAAATGACAGAATTAAAAGACGGTGGCTCTGCATCTTTGCAGGTCAGTTTATTACTTGTAATAAAAGCACGCCCATGAAATGTCCACTGGATGCAAAAACGTGGTCTCGCAGAGAAACTGTTGAATACATCTCTGGGAAGGGTTAGGGTATGCATGACAAACTCTAAAGTTGAAAAGGAGACGCGATATAAGAGAGGTTTCAAATTTCAGTTTAAAATTCATCGATAGTGTCCTTTGCTTTACAGAAGCTTTTCAGTTTCATGAGGTCCCATTTATTGGTTGTTGATCTTAGAGCTTGTGCTGTTGGTGTTCTGTTCAGGAAATTGTCTGCTGTGCAAATGAGTTCAAGGCTTCCCCACTTTTTTTCTAACAGATTTAGTGTGTCTGGTTTATGTTGTGGTCTTTGATCCAAAGGACTTTAGTTTTGTACAGGGTTATAAATATGGATCTATTTGCATTTTTCTACATGTAGACATCCAGTTAGACCATTGTTGAAGATGCTACATTTTTTTTTCCATTGTATGGTTTTAGCTTCTTTGTCAAAAATCAAGTATCCCTAGGTGTGTGGGTTTATTTCTGGGTCTTCTATTCAATTCCATTGATCCACCATTCTGTTTCTATGCCAGTACAATGCAGTTTTTATTATTATTGCTGTAGTACAGCTTGAAATCTGGGATTGAGATACCTCCAGATGATCTGTTATTGTACAGGATCGTTTTGGCAATTCTGGTTCTTTTGTTTTTCCATATGAAGTTGAGAATTTTTCATTCAAGGTTTGTGAAGAATTGTGTTTTTGATGGGAATTGCATTGAATCTGTAGATTGCTTTTGGCAGAATGGCCATTTTCACTATGTTAATCCTAGTGATCCATAAGCATGGGAGATCTTTCCATCTTCTGATATCGTCTTCAATTTCTTTCTTCAGAGACTTAAAGAATTTTTCAAAGAGGTCTTTCACTTGCTTGGTTAGAGTCACACTAAGGTACTTTATGTTATTTGTGGCTATTGTGAAGGGTATAGTTTCCCTAATTTCTGCCCTTTTGTCTTTCATATACAAGCGGGCGACTGATTTTTTTTTTTTTGTTAATTTTGTATCCAGCCACTTTGCTGAAGGTGTTTGTCAGCTGAAGGAGTTCTCTAGTTGAATTTCTGTGGTTGTCATGTATACTATTATATCATCTGCAAATAGTGATACTTTGACTTCTTCCTTTCTGATTTGTATCCCCTTGATCTTTTTTAGTTGTCTTATTGCTCTAGCTAGGACTTCAAGTACTATCATCAGAACAAAATGACAGCCTACAGACTGGGAAAGGATCTTCACCAACCCTATATTTGACAAAGGGCTAATATCCAGAATATATAAAGTACTCAAGAAGTTAAAAAATAACAAATTAAGTAATCCAATTAAAAATGGGGTACAGAGCTAAACAGAGAATTCTCTATAGAGGAATATGGAATGGCAGAGAAACACTTAAAGAAATGCTCAAGGTCCTTAGTCATCAGGAAATGCAAATCAAAACTACCCTGAGATTCCACCTTATACCCATCAGGATGGCTAAGATCAAAAACTCAAGTGACAATACATGCTGGAGAGGATGTGGAGAAAGGAGAACCCTCCTCCACTGCTGGTGGGAATGTAAACTTTTACAGCCACTTTGGAAATCAATCTGGTGCTTTCTCAGACAATTAGGAATAGTGCTTTCTCAAGATCCAGCGATACCACTCCTGGAAATATATCCAAAATATGCTCAAGTACACAAAAAGGACATTTTCTCAGCCATGTTTGTAGCAGCTTTATTCATAATATCCAGGACCTGGAAACAACCCAGATGCCCCTCAGTTGAGAAATGGATACAGAAATTGCGGTACATTTATACAATGGAATACTACTCAGCATTAAAAACAAGGAAATCATGAAATTTACAGGCAAATGGTGGGATCTAGAAAAGATCATCCTGAGTGAGGTATCCCGGAAGCAGAAAGACACACATGGTATACACTCACTTACAAGTGGATACTAGACATATAATATAGGATAAACCTACAAAAATCTGTACACCTAAAGAACCTAAGCAAGAAGGAGGACCCTGGGTAAGATGATCAATCCTTACTCAGAAAGGCAAACAGGACAGACATCAGAAGAGGAAGAAGACAGGCATCAGGTTAGGAGCCTACCACAGAGGGTAGGCTCCACAGAGGGCCTCTGAAAGACTCTACCCAGCAGGGTATCAAAGCAAATGCTGAGGCTCATAGCCAAACTTTGGGCAGAGTGCAGGGAATCTTATGAAAGAAGGAGGAGATAGAAAGACCTGGAGAGGACAGGAGCTCCACAAGGAGAGCAACAGACCCAGAATTCTGGGCCCAGGGGTCTTTTCTGAGACTGATACTCCAACCAAGGACCATTCATGGAGATAACCTGGACCCCTTTGACAGATGCAGCCCATGGCAGCTCAGTCTCCAAGTGGGTTCCATAGTAATGGGAACAGAGACTGTCTCTGACATGAACTCACTGGCTGGCTCTTTGATCACCTCCTCCTGAGGAGGGGGGAGCAGCCTTGACAGACCACAGAGGAAGACAAAGCAGACAGTCCTGATAAGACCTGATAGGCTAGGATAAGATGGAAGGGGAGGAGGACCTCCCTATCAGTGGACTTGGAGACAGGCATAGGAGGAGATGAGGGAGGGAGGGTGGGATTGGAAGGGAATGAGGGAGGGGGCTACAGCTGGAATACAAAGTGAATAAACTGTAATTAATATAAAAAATTAAAATTAAAAAAATTGTCAATAGTGGTAGGAAGGTGGTTCTGGGTAAAGTGTCTTATTGAGGAAGCTTGAGGACCTGAGTTTGGATCAAGTATCATGTGTCTGTAATTCTGCTCTTACAGTAAGATAGGGCACAGTACAGGCCTGAAAACCAGTGACCAATGAAAGAACGAGGTAGAAAGGAGAATGGATGCCCGAGGTTGATCTCTCCCACACTCACAGTACCCCTAGCCCTCTAGCTAAGTAAAGAGGTACCTCTTGTGTACCC